TACGTACGTACCGTACGTACGTACGTACGTACGTACGTACGTACGTACGTACGTACGTACGTACGTACGTACGTACGTACGTACGTACGTACGTACGTACGTACGTACGTACTACTCTACTCTCTCTCTCTCTCTCTCTCTCTCTCTCTCTCTCTCTCTCTCTCTCTCTCTCTCTCTCTCTCTCTGGGTTGGTTACGCCCAAAAAGACATGGAAATGAGAGTCTTAATCCACGGTCAAACATCCACTGTTTCCTCTGATTTTTGCAGGTGAAAGCACCCAGAAACTATGAAGATCAGCAGAATAGACTTCAGATCCGGATACGATAGAGAGAAAAACAACAATTGAGCAATTGAATTGGAAAGACGGAGAGAAGTTGAAGTAAAATGTGTGTTTGTGTGTATGTATATAGAGAGAGAGAGAACGAAGAAAATTTCAGATAATGCGTACCAGTGTGAAGAGAGACGAGAGTTCAGAGATGGGGTATAAAGAATGGGGGCAGTTGGTTCCTGCATTTGCCGTTGTGATAGCGAGAGGAAAAGTGGACAGATTTCTTCTGCTTTCCCTGCTTTACAGAAGAAGCTTACAAATAAAATTTGAGTGAAAAGGGAAGAAGCAGGAAATTGCAGAAGGGTGCGGTTTGTATAGAGCCTAGGCTCTAAACAATCAAATTAGAGCGTCCCTTCAAATGACATCGAGAAATGTAGTTTCCATATTAGAAATTTTGTGATAGCTTTATAGTATTTTTTTATATTTATTTATAATGTTTAAAGTTTAAAAAATAGTGTAATCTATATATCTATGAAAATCTTGAAAATTGACCGTCCAGCATTACAAAATATACTATTTTTAAAACTTGAATCTATTTTTTTCTTGTGTCCATGCTTGTGAAGGTGAGATGATCAATTTAATGATATTTAAACTTCAAAACAACCTCTTCTAGTGAAATTTGTTTATAACCATAGCTCTATATAAACTTTTCCCAATTGCATAATCAATTAATTTTTTTTATCTTCCATGAGCCAAGAAGTTCGGGCCTTAACCAGGCTTGGCAGCCCCGAATAATGGACCCAACTAACCTCGGGACCGATGGGTATACTCGATTTCGGATCCGGGAGTAAGTTTTTTTAATTCTTTTAGGCACTGATTTTTTGCGTAATTTAGAGAGAGAAAAGATGGTCTGATTTTCTGCACGTTTTAGAGAGAGAAAATATGGTCTAAAAGAAGTGGAACGATTGGTCGAGTGAGAAAATCCAGTGAGATAACTACTTACCCACTGAGTCGTGCAATGAGTCCAATATTCTAATACAAAAAAGGAAATTTTCCCTATTCAAATTTGACAATCAGAGGAAAAAAAAAGACTGAAACTTGAGGATGGTCCTTATCTCACTTTTGAGGATATGAAAAAAATTGAAACAAACTTATTATCTCAATTTTCTTATCTCAACAAAAAACTTGAGTTATATCTTATCTCAATTTTCTTACCTTCAAGTTGCATAAGTGTGTTCATATGTACGGGGAAATTGTTAGAGTTTTCCCTCATGGAAATGAACCCCTATACAACTTGAAAATCCACAAATTTTATGAGAAATTTTATTTTTAAAAAAAAAAAAAAGGGACTACCCTTTAAGATCCTAAAATCTATGGTTTTTGATTTTGGAGGTTCAAATTTTTGTTGATTGCGCTCCTTGGAGATACAAATTATGGAGTTAATTAATTTCAAATAATTATACAATTAATTTGGGCCATCTCACATAATTGAGAGAGAAACCTTATATGGTAGTGATCTATTTAGAGGGTAAGTGTATAGAGAGCCTTTGGGAAAGTGTCTGGAGTAGCGGTGGTAGCACCTCGCACCCTTGTCACCACATAGTTGTTCATTCCCACCACTAACACCTTCAAAAACCTTAACTCCTAATCTACTTGAAAAAACGGGTAGGGGTGTCTTCTCCACTAAATTACCCAAAAAAACAAAAAAGTGTATAAAGAGTTCTTACAGGGTTGTGTGAGAAAGAAATCTTAATATTGGACTCTATGAAATAATCGCCAAAAAAACAATTTAATTCATCAACCATAGAACATTTTTCGACCTGATAAGTAAAAAAAAATAGAGCAAATAATCATTATAGAAAGTGAGACAAAATAAATAAATTAAAAAGCTACTTTGATAATTCAATCATTTTAGCCACTGCGTTTCAGCATGATTCAGAAAGAGAAAAGACAATATGGAAGAGGAAGCGGAGAGACTGATTGACAGAGAAAATCCAATGAAATAATTACTACCGATTGAGTCATGCAATGAGTCCAATATAGAAAAGGGAAAGGTTTCTATACTTCCCCTGCAACATAGAAGATCTATGCTTCCCCAACCATCCAGCCGTTCAATTTTTATCAAGAGAGTCACTCACCGTTTGATCTTGAATCCGACGTCTCAAAGAATTTTATTTTTAGTTTTTTTTTATACAAAGTGTATGAATATGAAATTTGATACGTGCCATCTTCTCATTGGGGCGAACCTATAAAAAAATATTAAAAATAAATATTTGATAAAATATAATGACCAAATACCCCTTAAAATTTTCAGGGGTATTTTGGTCTTTTTATTTTATTGAAAATATTTGTTTTATATTTTTTGCTAGTGCGAGTTTAGAAGAGGATTGAACGTCCAAAATTTGGTATCACAATAGTTTATATAAAAAAAATAAAAGTAAAATAGTGTATAAGCGTGACATTGTGATTGGAGCAATCTTAGCCTTCCATTCATAATGGACGTTTGGATAAGGGGAAGTATATAAGTTTTATGCTGTAAGGAAAGCATAGAAAGCATGCTCTATACAAAAAAGAACGAACACTTATGCAACTTTAAAGATAAAAGAAAACAATTTGAAACTCGAGAATGGCCTTTGTCTCAATTTTAAGATAAGAACAAAAAAATTAGATGAGAATATACGAAAAAGTCTATAATGACACTATTTATCTTTGGCACAAGGTAATCATAATTACTTTGACCGTTGGATGTGAAACTAGATGGTTGCATTTATTCAATTGACCAAGTTCATTTCGAAAGAAATTTTCTTGAATTTTATGACACGCCTAAGCTATCAAATTTCACATCGGATGATCGTCGGTAATCTATATATATATATGGATAATCTAAAGTTCACAACCTTTCAAATTACAAAAGTTAATGATATAATGAATTGTGAAAGATGGACTTACTAATTTTGTGGTTCATTTTGAGAAAAAAGTTAGTTTTTGTGATATCTTTATCATTAAGTAAGAGTACTTTTTCAAATATCACTACAAAACAAGAGGTATTTTTGTCATATTCATAAGGGGTAAAACTAAAAATTTTATTAAAAAACAAATGCACCATAAATATATATATATATATATATATATATATTGTGTTGCTCGTAGTTGTCTCATTCAAATTAACGAGGCCAGTGATTCGTGCTTTGATTTTTTGTTCCTCATTTGAATCTTTATGAAAAAGTGCTTGAAGAGGCAGTATCTCAACTTCAATGGGTAACACTGCTTCCATATCATACACCAATATGTATAAGGTCATGTCAGTAGGAGTCTTTTCAGTTGTCTGATAGGCCCATAGCGCGTCATTTAGCTTTTCATGTCAATCTTTGCCACCTTCTATTCTTTTGTTTATAATTCTAAGAAGTCCTTTGTTAGTAGCCTCTGCTTGTCCATTTCCTTGAGGGTAGTTAGGTGTGAAGAATTTAGGCGTTATCTCAAACTTTTTGCACACCTTAGAGACCTTTTCATTTTTGAGATTGGATCCATTGTCAGTAATGATTGACTCAGGAACACTAAACCTAAATACAACATTGTTCTTTATGAAAGGGCAACATGTTGTCCCTCAATTTTGACAAATGATGCGGCCTCTACCCATTTAGTTAAGTACTATGTAGCCGTTAATATAAAACAGTGGCTGTTTGAGGCTTTTGGTTAGATCATTCCAATGATATCAAGACCCCACATGGTAAAAGGCCATACAGACGGTGTTGAGTTGAGTGGTACGGACGGTACATGGATGAGGTCTCCATAAAGCTGACATTTAGGACACCTCTTTACGAACTTCCAACAATCTTCAACCATGGTGGTCCAGTTATAACCTTGGCACCCGATTTTCTGAGCCAATGTGACTGCGCCAGAATAACCTCATTCATTGTGTAACTCTGTCAGTACTTGGTCGATTTCTGGCTAATCACCGTAGAATGATGCCATCAAAGGACTTTTTGAACAAGAAATCACCTCTTATTAAGAATCCCATAGAAAACCTTTGAGGGGCTTCTTTATCCTTTTTGCTGGCTTCTTCAGGGTATAACATATCTTTTAGCAAAGGCAAAACATCGCAGAACCATGGTTTTGCCTTAACTAGCGCATCTGAAGCCACTAGAGATACTTCCCCATCGTTCTTATTTTCTTATTCTATTTCTTCTTCGATCCTTGGTCGGGAAGGATATGTTTGTTCTTGATATAGAATGGCAGTGTGGCAATTTCTGGAGGAATACCAACCATTGAAGCAAGGGTCGCAAGGGCATCTGCGAACTGATTATTTTCCTTAGTTACATGCTGAAAGGTGACTTTTTTAAAATATGGGATCATCTTTTTCACCTTTTCTCGATAGGGCTTGAGCTTTTTTCTTTCACCTTTCAAATCCCTTAAACTTGGTTTATGACAAGTAAGGAGTCACCAATCAATCGTATTTGTTGGATTTTCATTCCCATGGCATTCTCGAGCCCAGCTATCAAGGCTTCATATTCAGCAATGTTATTTGTACATAGGAAATTCAATCTGATAGTTGTTGGCATTAAAATCTTCTTGGGTGAGCATAATATGACTCCTATACCTGACTCGTATTCGTTTCTTGTACCGTCAAAGTATAGCTTCCAGATTGATTCCTCAATTGTGAAGAGGTTTTCATCAGGGAGATTTGTGTTTACAGGAGTATTATCTCGTAGCGTGTTTAGCCAAGTGGTCAGCAATGGTTTGTTCTTTGATTGATTTTTTAGTAACATATTCGATCTCGAAATCGTACAATAGTATTCTCTAATTCGTTAAATGTTCGTTCAGGACTGGTCTCTCCAATAGGTACTTGAGTGGGTCTATTTTTTAAATGAGCTTGACTTAATGAGATAAGACATAGTGTCTTAACTTTTGCATGGTCCACACAAGCGTCAAACAATGCTTCTCAACATCTGTGTATCTTGTCTCATAGCCCACCATAGTCTTGTTGATGTAGTATATCATTTGTTCTTTTTCATGGTCATCATATTGTTTGAATATTGCCCCCATGGTCTTGTCTCTCACTGACATGTATAGGAACAAGGGTTTGTTTGGACAAGGAGGACTAAGGATGGGAGGTTTCGTAAGGTACTCATTGATTTGATCAAACATTTCTTGGCACTCATTATCTCACATGAATGGGGTATCTTTCCAGAGAAATCTATTAAATGATGCACACTTATCTGTTAGTTGTGAGATGAAACGCCTTATGGTTTGTATGCGACCTTGCAACCCACAAATTTCCCTGATGTTCCTGAGAGATGGCATTTCAGTGATGGCTTGTATTTTGGACGAGTCCACCTCAATGCCTCTTTGGCTACTATAAATCCTAGTAATTTGTTGGATTCAACCCCAAAGGCACATTTTTGCGGATTGAGTTCGAGT